GTCATTGTATGGTATGCTGCTTTTAACCATGCTATCGACTATCCGTTCCAAGGCTTTAAGTAGGAAGGACGTAAGACTTATCGGTCGATAGGACTTAGGTGTCGCATAGCTAGGTTTCCCTGGTTTGGGTATAAATATTACCCTTGCATCCTGCCATTTAACTGGGGTATATGCCAATTTTAAGCATGCAGTGAATATCTGTGACAGATGTACGGAAACCAGTCCCGCCTCCATCTGCAAAAGTGCCGGGAAAATTCCATCCGGCCCTGCAGCTTTATAGGGAGCAAAGCTCTTGATTGCCCCTTTAACCATGTCAGTTGTAATAACTATTTCCGTGTTACCCTCCCCTTCCTCCAATATCGGTTCATCTATGTTATTCGATATACCGGGTGGGAAATGAGAATCCATTAGGAGTTTTATTGTCTCCTCCATATCCTCAAGCCTCCTGCCCGTGTCATCGATCATAGATTCCGGTTGGATAGGAATTTTTTTATCTTCGATACGTCATTTACGCTATCTACCTGTTCACAGAAAAGTTTCCAGGAGTCTCGTTTGGCTTTTCGAACGATTTTCTTATATTCACCAAGTTTATTACGATACTCATCCCAGTATACTGCGGTCTTTTTACGCCGTGCCCGGTTAAATAGTTTGCGAAGAGTCTTCCCAAGGTTCCGGATCTCCCCAGTTACCCAGGGTTTTTCCTGGGCAGATCTCCGCTCTCGCAGAGGGCAGCTGTCCTCGAACGATTCAACCAGGGCACTTGTGAACGTTTCCACTTTGGCATCTATATCCTCTTTAGTAAGGTCCCGAACATTGTCCAATTAGTTTTAGACTTATTCCGAAACTTTATCGGCTTTGGTGGTGGCCTTAGTATTTTGATTCTTATGTACCGATGATCAGAAAAGGAGTGCTCGTCCGAAACTCTCCAATCCTGAATTTCGTTTATAAGCTCTTCTGAACATATAGTTATATCTAATACCTCTTCTCTGATTCTATTGACGAAGGTAGCTTTATTACCTAAGTTCAATGTTATCAAGTCTTTAGTATTAAAGAAATCCATGAGGGCTTGTTTCCTGCGATTGGTGTTTGTACTACCCCAAGCTACATGATGCGAGTTGGCATCACAACCTATTACAATTTTCTTATTTTTCCTTTGTGCCTCTTCAACCAGTTTCATCAGATCCGACGTTGGTGGTAGTGTCGGAGAATCGAAAGGCAGGTAAATAGATGCAAGGAATATGTTGCCACGACCTTGCTTCAGCACAGTTGCATCCGATGTTGATAATCCTGTTGAGAGGAGAAAACATAAGTTCTTGTGACATAAGATACATGTTCTCGGGCGAGATCCTGTATCAGCGTAGAAAAGTTGGAAATTTACGTGATTTAATCCAGAAACCTTGTTGCGAATCGTCCAAGGTTCCTGGATTAAAGCTATATGTATTTTACCTGTGTTGATTTTAGCCATCAGAGCGTTGGTAGCTGTCTCGCTCCGATGGAGGTTTATTTGGATAACGTCAATCATGGTCATCCATTAAACTGTCTTCCAGCGAGTTGGTGGTCACCTCCTCGCTCTTTGGATTTGACTCCTCCGGATAGCCTGAAGTGGCTATTAATGCAGTGAGTACTGTTGATGGCACTGCGGTGTCCTTAGCAGGCATAGGAATAGCAGTATTTTTAATAGACACATTCCCAATTCTGGAGAGCATTGCTGTTCTGTCCACTGGCGGGTGAGTGATTTCCTCCTCGCTTTTAGGATTTGACTCCTCAACATTGCTAGTACTTGCTAATGATGCTTTGGGTACTGTCTTAGGTGTTTTAGTGTCCTTGTCGGGGCCGGTTTTGACAGCCCTTTCAATCGGCGCCTTCCCAATTTTGGAAAGGGCAATTACACTTTCTTCTGGCGAGTTAATGGTAAATTCCTCGATTTTAGGATTTGACTCCTCAACGTTATCAGTAGTGGATACTGATGCTGTGGTCTTAGGTTTTTTAGTATCCTTTTCGAGGCTTGTTGTAACAGCCCTTCCAATCGGCACCTTCCCAATTTTGAATATGACAGATTTAGAGGCGAAGTAAGCCCTACCTTTATTCTTGGCAAGACTAGCCATGGATTTCTGGTCGATACCTATTACAAATAAAGTTCCCTCAGGTTCTTCTTTCCTGTAAAAGACATCCCATTTTTCCACGGCCAGCTCAGCATTTTGACCTCCAAGAATTTCCAGTATACGTTCATTAGCCAGTTTACTGCCCCATCCTTTTATGTAGACAGTGGACTTTAGGAGCACCGGAAGCTCGCTCTTCTTTGCCAGTCCCAGCCTAGCGCCGTCCCAGGGAGGAGGGATACTTTCCACCAAGTTCTTTAGGGTGCTAACACATTGGTGAGATGCCAACCTCATCAACATCACGCCCATGCTGAACTCGCAGCTCTCGCTCTCTATTGGTTGTTTGCCCTTTGAAGCGATTGCATGGTCCACTATCTTATTGTTGACCAGGTCTTCTATTTTACTCTGTTGGTCTATTGGAATTTTGCCTGTCGGATTACCGGCATCGTAAACTGCATAGCAGAGATCGTCCCGGTGCCTACTTCTGGCAACTTTGGCGTAAGATGGCGGCTCTTTTCCTTTTCCTCCGTCTAGCTTCTCCTTCCTCGTTTTTCGGGGCTTCTTTTGAGATTCCCTTACCTTCGAGGTTGATTTCGCCGACGTGTTCGTCTTCGGAATATCTGGCTTGGCGTTGTCACCCTTACTCGCAGGATTCTCACTTGAGATTCCTTTGAGTGAAGTATGGCTTGGCTTCGACTGTGTATTAGAAGACGGGGAGCTCTTTTTCTTCTTAGGTTTATTCTCAGTTGTCAACTCCTCTTGAGACCTGATCCTTTTTGCCTCAGATCTTGTGAGAGAGTCCGATTTTTCCTTTGGAGTGTCGTGGGATTGACTAACTATGATTTCCTGAAGCATCTTTTTCAACTTCCTCCTCTGTGCTCCAGAAAGTCTTTTCTTAGTAATAGGTAATTTAGCTATGCTATCACTCACCTCTTTCACCATTTGCTCTACTTCATCCTTTTTGGGATTTTCTATAATGGTATTATTATTATTATCATCTGAGGATTCAGAGTCGGAACCCTCACCTATATTTAAAGGCTGAGGTAGCTTAGAGCTCTCTCCGAGTACATCCTTCTCTTTCACCACTATATTTTTGCCAGCGGCATGCTGTACACTTGACGCATTGTCCGCCACGGAGGCCAAGGTACCCACCTCCGTAGTAGTATTCTGCTCACGATTGCAGGATGACGACGACACGTGACTCGCGAGTAGATCAACACTTGCCGCCGGTACTGGGTTATTTAGGCCCTGCACCGTAACTTTTATCTTTTTATTTTTATTTTCCATATTTGTTTTTTTTTCAGTTTTTTGGTCCGCGGGGAATATAATATTCCCAGGTGGTGGACAATCTGCCCTCCCTCAGCTTAAGTGAAATTAAAGCTGGGAGAGGACAGATGGTCCATCACCACCCCCTATCCGCCACCCGGGGACGCGCTCGGTAGGAAAAATCTGGAAAACTCCCCCGAGAGTTTTCCTTTTCGCGGCAGACGCGTTACATACTACAGTGTGTAACTTGTTAAATTAAAATTCACTATTTAAATTTTAAGTGTTATATAAACGTTAATCCCACCAGAAAATTTAATAAGGATCTGCCCATATTTAACACTAGTTCCCATAATTTTGTTTTTTTATCAATAAATTACTTATGCATGTATATCGGTCGCCTATGCCCGATTATACTATCTTATTTCTTTTGTATTTCTAACGCATATTTCCAAAATAAAAATTAGTTTTAATTTGACCTTTTTAACTCACTTTAAGTGTGTTCGACGGTCTCGTTTTACATTTGGGAAAAACCTATACTTTTTATATGATATGTAATGATCAGGGCAAGGATTTGTATGCAAATGAATTTGCAATAAAATGGCATCGATTTGTTGTTGCATATTTTTGCATATTTTGTTATAAATGCATAAATTGCATACATTGCTTTAAATTGCATATATTTTGCATATTTATAGCATATTTTGCATATTTTTTAATTTTTCGAACACAAATTGTGTTTTTTTGTATTACATGCATACGTATTTTTACAATTAAAAATATGTATATATGTAATACAAAACAAAACCCTTTATGACCAAAATGTCCAACTTTGACCCCCTCTACATTCGGCAGTTCTTAATCAATGTGTATGGCCTACTATCAATAGTACTGACCTTGGTGCAAATTTCATCCAAATCAATTTTTTGAGTTGGGTCACTTGACACGAAATTGCCCATATTATTTAAATTATTGTCAGTCTCGAGATAGTGATTCTGTTAAATTGGTATTAGGGTACATAAAGCGATATTTCTATCATCAAGAACCTATATATTTGTTGTCAAAAACTTTAGTTCTAAATATTTATAATAAAAATGTACTTTAATACGATAAAAGTAAAATTAGTAGTTAAAGGTTAATTAAATTTTGTTAATCAAGTGTTACGTTTATTTTTGGTTCAAATAATCACTATGTGGTAGAAAATTTACTCGGGTCATCTTGGTTCTAAAACTTTTCACGATAAATCTATTTTTTAAAACCATTTAATAACAAATTTATATGATTTTATAATAATATAATCTAAGAGTTTGGGTACAAAATTTTAGGGAAGGGGATAAACCGCAGCTCCTGTTCTTACCTTTTTTCCGCAAAACTTTTTTAACACTTGGAAATAAGCAATAGTGTTTCTTGGGTTTACAATTTTACAAAATTCTATAAAAGTTATAGCTCTTATGTACATGTAATGAAATTATATAAAATATGATCATCTGAAATACATTTTACTTATTTATTTTGTAATAAGTAATTATTTCTAAGTTTTACTAAATATTATTTTTGTTATTTTTAATATGTTTACAAAAAAAAAACGACCATAAATATAAAACTACATTCTAATCATCACGTATTTTTTCTTTGCAGTTTTGCAATGCCCACATTTTTTAAGGGTCGTAAAAAAATATTGGACGAAAATGATCTCTATAAAGCTTTAAAGGAACACAAATCTGGTAAGTAACAAAATAAGAATAATGCTAGTTTGAATAAGATTGTTTGCCAGAACTAAATTTCTTACATTGAGCCAGGAAGTATTAGGTCTAAAAACAATTATTATAAACTCGAAGTATATTAACATGCTGCGTAAAGTTTAGCAAGGTTTAGAAATCATAGATATTTTTAAATATTTATTTTCTGAAATATTCAGAGTAAATTACTGTTCTTTTTATAAAGAGTTAATTAAATATTTATGCATTTACTGTAATTTAAGCAACTTATTAAGTATATTTAGATTATTTTTCACTGAACTAAAATTTCTAATAGTTTCAAATTAAAATCCACATAAAAGTTCAAATTTCCTATAAGCTCATTAAACCCGATACTCAACATTATTTTAATTTAAAACTAAATATAACATTGTTATAATCAAATTCTACTTAGTATTTATAAACAATTTCGTGTAAATATTGTTTAAGAAAAACAAAATAAATTTGTTTTGCCATTCTCCACCATACCATACAGCAGGGGTTTTAAAATATGGTCTGTTATTTGAATTATTGTATAATTTATTGAGTTTTCAGTATGCCGGTTATTTAAATAATCAATTTAACAAAAATAAAAAAGATATTTATTATAATTTATAATTCCATTACATGTCCAATGATTAATATCGTTTTCAGTTGAAAATAATTCAAAAGTATGGTTTGATATTAATACAAATTGTTTACCAAAAATTTCTTTGCCAAAAATTGTATTGATTATTTATTTTATTTCAATAATATAGTTTTTTTTTAATTTTTTTTTAATTCTTATTAAATATGTATTTACATATGAGTATGTGTGTGTTCCCATAAGTCTCACCCTAAGTATTATTGTAAAGTATCAAATGCATCCATAGAATTCAATTAAATATTCTACTCATATCACATTTCTTCTTTCCAATTAACAAAAAGCACTTGTCATAAAAACGATACATTGGTTGTCGTATTCATTCATACATTTCAGTTTATAATTTTACTTGTGGATACAGTGTGACATTGATTTTAGATTAATGGACAAATGATTGAGTTCCTATATTATATAGAAACAAGTACGAGTGTGATAGAAATATATTGACATAGATCTTTACGTTATGTTGATAGAAGGATTTAGATGTATTTACATCAAATTCGAAGAAATACACATAGGCCACAATCGGACCTGTCTGTATTTTTCAGAAACTCAGTTTTCTGGACTTAATACCTAAGAATTTTCCAATAAGTGTTCATGAGGGATGTTATATCCGAAATAATAACACTACCAAAATATTTGGATCTAATTTCGGCAAAAATCTGACAATGGAAAAGAAAGTGCTTCGCAGTTTCTCAGTTATCTCTGCATGCTCTACATTCGTTTGAATCCGCACATCCAATTTTGAAAAGCTGTGCCCGTAATCCTGTGTGTCCACTAAGAATATGTACCATTATACTAACCTTAGACTTGCTCATTTTGAGGAGACTACTCGTCCTGCTCTCGTAAGGGTACCCCATAGGATCTTTGTTTCATTATATCAAGTGACTCTGTCCCTTATTTTTAACCCATGCCTCGTTGCGTCTACTCCCAAGTGGCCTGGTACCCATATCATGAAAACCTTACCTCTGGGATAGTATTCGGCTAGAGCTTTCTTGTCCTCCAGTACGGTCTTAGATTTAACTTTATCACCTGTCAATTAATATGTTAAGCCCTGTGGGCATCATATTTATTGGAAGCCCACTTTGTCCTCCAATTTAGAGCCATCCCTATAACAACGGACTCCTATTTGCTCAAATGTTCCGCTTGACCATGACATTCTGTCTGAAAGTTCCAGACATATTCTGTTATGTAATCGGGCAAGTCCCATGATTGTGTATAGCCTTCAAATGGGTCCAGTATATATTAATGACGTGTCTTATAACCGCTTTTAGCCAGTTCGCCTAAAGTTATGTGCCGTTCGGCTGTAAGTGTCGCCTCATATCGTATATGTGTTTCAATGGGTGGAATGTCTATCAACGTTTCCAAAGCCTTGGTTGACGTAGTGCTCATGACACCACTTATACCCAAGCAAAATGTATGCTGAACTCTCTGTAGTAGTTTTATATTACACTCTTTACATACGTTTTACTTATTCATTTATTTTATAATATAAACATCAGACTGATGTTCGGATCATCATAGATCGCTATACTGATATTTTTATGCCAGTAATTAGCGTTAAAAACATTATCCGAAGGTGAATTTACATAGGAAATATTTTATCAGAATCTGTTTATAGTTGGCATAACTCCTGAAATTTTATAGATTTTTGTTCCATATTTATGTCGAATTTCATCGCTAACTTGTATTTTTGAACTGTTTAAACTATATTCCGGAAGCAACTTGTATGAGGACTAGGTATTACTTTAGATCGATATTGCTGATTTCAAATACCAATCAAGTTTCATCAATACGAAATGTTTTTTGTAAAGGCACTCTGTTTTTCACGGAAACACGCTGCTATATAATGCTATATAAAAGAATCTAAAAAGATCCATAATACATAAACTTCTGTTGATCTTACACTAATATGTGTTACAAATAGAATGGAAATATACCTAATCTTGATTGATTGATACAATATTTGTAAGTCATTACTCCTTCTAAGTAATGCCAATGGTATGTAGTAGTCATTTGTAAATTAATATTGCTTTTGTGAAATGTATTTTCTTTCACACTGTATGTATGTTTCCTTATATGAGCATAAAAAGTATGTAATAACAATAATTGGTAAACATTTTTATAATTTTACTGAATTTAAGTATTTTTCTTTATGACTCTTGAAATCAATTGAAATCTTAACTACGAATTGTTTTGACTTGTTATGTGCCAACTTCTGTAAACAAATGCGCACATTAACCCATTTAAATAAATAGTAATTAAAATTATATTGTTAACTGAAATTCTATAAACTAAAATTACATATTTATAAAGATACATATTTATATTTTATGAAATGAAAGGAAAATGTTTAATCTTTATACTTTAAAAGCCATCTTGTTCATAAATAAATTTTAGATTTAAAAGAGGTTAATAAGACAAATTTTGTATGGATTTTTTGTTTTGTAAACTGTTGAGAGATTTAAACATTTTTATAAGTAAGAAAATAAATATTTTATATTTTAACAAAAGGATTTTCAAACACCAACTATTTTTTCGTTCGTTGTACAAAAACATGTAGTTACTTTTAATACAAATCAATTTTGTAGGAATTTGAACTCTTATCTTGTTTTTATAAATAGAAAAACATAATGAAAACATTTGATTGCATTCGAACACTAATGATATGTAGATTTTTTTAATTATGCTTTTATTTCCCAATAGTAAGTATCTACATATAATAATTTCTAGTGTCTTTTTCCTTTTGACAATTATAAATTACGACAAATACAATTTCTTTCATAACAATCTCAATTGTTTTGTATACATACACATGTATTTGAAACCCTGTCTAGATATGTCACTTAATATTAATAAAAAATTATCTTTATGGTTTTAATAAAAAATAAACAATTTATATTGTTATAAAAATTCATATAATGATTTATATTATAGTATGTATTGCAGAAATTCATGTGTGGCCGGCCTACTGTTTATTATTATAAATTACGATTACATATTTTGATATTTTCCATTATTGGGGAAGAGGGAGGGAGGCATATTCAATTTATCATTCCAACTGTCACAAATTAGAATACAATTTGTTTTATCTAATTAAAATTTACAAACACTTTATTTGTAGCGATGATATGAAACAATTTCTATATGTCAAGGTGAAAGGTGTCACTTTTTGCTATAACGGTTAATGTCAATAACTATTTTTTCAAAATATGTTTCATATATGGGGAATTTCGTGTCAAGTGACCCAACTTTAAAAATCGATGTCTTCCGATTTGGATGAAATTTGCACCAAGGTTAGTAGACCAATAGTGCTAACATTGCTAGCTATCTGAACTCCTTTGGACAGTTTAGCTAGGACTAATAGGTGAAAAGTTACACGCATTTGAATAAAACCCTGTATGACCCAAATGCCCAACTTTGACCCCCTCTAAGTCCGGCAGTTCTGGACCGATAGCGCTGAAAATTTGTGTCTGGCCTACTATCCAATAGTACTAACCTTGGTTAGTACCTTGTTAGTTTGGAGGTCGTGGGTTTGATTCCCTCCACAAAAGCCTAGGTGTAAAGGTGGAAGTATACAACAAGCGTTGTACGCGGCAACTGTCAAAAAAAGTTGAAATAGTGTATTTTAATTTAACAAGTGAGAAGCTCAGCAACTTTCAACTTTTGGCGCGTCGACAGCTGATCAGAGTTGTATTTTGTTTTGTGTAGAATTAGGTTAAACCAAAATGAAATAAATTTCTCCTACAATAAAAGAAAAATATTAAAAAAAATATACAAAAACTTAAAATTTTGATTTTTAAAACAGCAAGTCCTAAAAAACATTAAACTAAAGACCGAAATAACGCGTGGTGTGTAACTTGTTGCTTATAAAGCTGGGAAAATTTGAAAAGTGTGAAACGGGTTGCCGCCTTGTTGTGCGTGTTGTGTACTTACACCTTAATTCTTCCGATATTACTAACAAACTAACTTTTCCTTCATCGTAACCATCGGTTTTTAAAAAGATTTATTTCAACTGACGAAACATAATTTAAATACTAGATACTTCTTTCCTATGCTTTGTTTAGTCTGTTAGTTCGGAGGACGTGGGTTTGATTCCCTCCACAGTTGCTTAGGTTTAATGTTTTGGATCTGATGCAACACAAATACATCCAACAAACTAACTATCAAGTCAATTTATGGGTCTTGCAAAAGTTAAGTTTAGCTCAAGCCAAGCTCCGATTTTATTTTTTCACACTTAATATAAGACTTAAAAAGTGATGAAAAATATTGGCCAATAAATTTTGATTGTTAATGACTTTTGTAGTAAGTTATCGGGAATGAATTATTGATGCTATATGGGTCCAAAATCTGAAAATCAATTTAACTTAATTATTGGGATTCATTTGGGTCATTACTAATTTTGTATTCCTTAAGAAAATGTGATTTGAAAATTAAAACCAAACAAATAAAAAACAATTTCTACAGTAAATGAACAAAATTATTAATTAATCTTTAAAAATGGTTTGTGCTAATCGAACTTTTAATTGATAAAAAAATTACTTATCACGATGAATTGTGTAAAGGGGTCCTTAAAAAAGTTACACACATGTTTGATTAAAACTATATAAATCATAACGTAAAATCAAGGTTTTTCTTTTTTTGTTAATAACTTTCTTTAAAGTACCTATTGAAGTACGTACTACACGTGAGCAAAAAAAGTATATTCTACAAATTACATCATTGTACAAAAATAGGGTATTACTGACTTTTGTATTTCATAGAACATTAAAATATATGTATGTACGTCATACAAATAATGTAAATCTTTATACAAACTTAGTTCGCAATATTAATATAAGATTTATAATAATAGGCCAAGTATAAGTCAGTTATACACCACCATTAAGCTATTATCAACTAGTTCCTATAGATAATATTGAAAATAATTTTGTTTAGAAATTATTCGACCTTTGGAAATAACAGCTGACGAAAAACGACGATATTTATAAGATTAAAGATATACGAAGAAGCAACAAAATACCTAAATGTCTTTATTTCTATTTCATTGTGGGTTTTCAGCACTTAACTGCAAATCAAAATATATTTTATTGATTGTTTCCTATTATTTTTTTATCAGCTGTGGTAAAATTATTTTTATTAAATACTAAAGTCATTGTGATTTGTGCAAATATAGAATTGGTAGTTATTTGTATACTAAAGGTAAAAAGTACGTTAGATAAGTTATTAAAAAATATGGTATAATTTAAAGATTATAATAGAAGACAGAAATTATGAAGAATGTATTCATTTCTTGAAAATCTAATAAAATTTGAAAATAAATATGTCAATGATGCATCTCAAAGCTCACACAATTAATATGATCTGTCAAAATTTTATGTAAACGTAAAGCTACATTTACATTATACCACAAGTAGTATGATCTATCAAAATATTGTGTAGATGAGAACGGATGGTATAGTCTAAACTCGAATATGTAACGAAAGTATCAAATATTGCGAGAAAATACGGTTGGAAAACTTGACCGTCGCATGGCTCATTCAAAAGATTAAAAAAAGAAGCCAGTCGCATTAGATCAGGGATGTATTTTTATGACCAACCAGTCACCGGCGAGATTTAGTTCCATAAAAAGGGAACTTGTTGAAATCTAATTCAATTTTGTGACTTGTGTTTTTATATTAAATTTAGTATAAATTTTGTTTCGGTAAGATTATTTACGAAACACAAAAAGTCCAAAATTTTTTAATATATCGACTGATACAAAAGGACACATAAAAAATATGTGTAAGTGTCCGACTAAGTGTTAGAAACAAATTAGGTCGAATCTTTCCAAAGAACAAGCCAGACCACTAGTTCTATGCGATTTTTCTTGACTCTAAAGCAATTTTTTGACTAGTGTCAAGGTAGATGACTCATAAGAACTTCGTTTATATTTTGAACTTAAGTATTTTAAAAATATATCTGGTCCACAAAAAAATATCAATTAAATGTCATGCATTATTAGAGCATGACGAAATAATTTATTCCAATAAATTAATTTAAAATGATGGAATGGATATGAGAGCTTCAACTTTTGTTACTTTTTTTAAATTAAAAGAACTTTATTCACAAAAATCATTAGGGTTAGTCACTACACCTTCGTAGCATGGTCTCAAAAGCCTCCTGAGCCCATTAAAACTAAAATATCTGAGAAAAACTAATAATTATTTACTTTTTCTGAGAACCTTAAAAATTTGTTTCATCTAGAATAACGATACTTGACTTTAGTACATGTGAGGAGTGTAAAAACAAAGACAATAATCTCCATTTTATACATACCAAAAATGTCGGATTGAATTTGCCAGCAAACCTCAAATTTCGATGATACTTATTACATTAAAAAAAAGGAGGACATGCAACATAAAAATATAATTATATTTAGAAAAAAGACTTTTTGTATTCATATGTTTTAAAAAATATAAAAATGGAGATAGCTAGTTTTACTTCTATGTTGCTCATTTATACATATATTTTCAAATATTTACTTAAAACTTTTCATCAATTTTAAAATGTATTTATCTATAATTTGCATATTAGTCAACATAAATATAATTTATTTTTAGGTGATTTTCTCGCATTGTTTATTATTTTTATTACTAAGCAACATTCTAAACAAAATTTTATATTAAAAAGGTGTTAAAATAAATCTATTTTACAAATCATGGCAATTCAAAGAAACAATAAATAAATTTCGAACAATTTTGTTTATTTTTGGTTGTTTTTTATTTTATTACAGATTTTCTGGGACATAAACTTAGCGTAGCATGGGAGGAAGAATGCAATAAAAAACAAATGAAACACAAGGAGCCCAGTCTTCTAAAAGCGGTATTAAAAGTATTTGGTTTACGTTTTGCTACTTTGGGTCTAGTGCTTTTTATTTTAGAAATTGGTTTACGGTAAATATTTCTTTGTTTATTATTTTTCTTAACAAATTGCATTTGAATTGATAAGGTGGGGGAATTGAAAGATACGATACGATCACACACAATTTGCACACCTCAATGACAATCAGACATTATCAATTCAAACGACTTATTTAAATTTAATTAATTTATTTATTTTATTAAATATCAAATTCAATTTCCCTTTTACAGTGTCACTCAACCTTTATTTTTGGGCGGTTTAGTTTCATACTATGCTAAGCCCGAAAGTAATACGAGTGGTGATCAAACCACTGCGTATTTATACGCATTGGGTGTGATCTTATGCAGTGCATTAAATGTTTTCTTTATGCATCCTTACATGTTAGGCATACTGCATACGGGCATGAAAATACGAGTGGCCATGTGCAGCATGATATATCGTAAGGCACTGCGTTTGAGTAAAACAGCACTGGGTAATACGACATCCGGTCAAGTGGTCAATCTAATATCGAACGATGTTGGCCGCTTGGACACGTCAATGATACACATGCACTATTTGTGGTTGGGTCCAGTTGAAATAGTGATTATAACATATTTGATGTACAGAGAGGTAAGTTGTTGAAATTGTACACGTATTCATACTTTGTATTACAAAGTTTGTAAATATGTTGTATTGATAAAATGTTTTTAATAATGTTTTTTGCATTTCATATCTTTTAATTCACTAAATATCGAATCTCAAATAATAATAAAACGTTTATAATATATTAAATGCCAAAAACATAGATGGAAAATTTATTTAGAATAACCATTTCATTTCAAATCAACGCTTTCGCCCTGTTATAAAGTCTGAAATATGGCTAAAAACGGGGTTTTTGCAATTTTTATGACACGATAGCTGAAAAAAAAACGAATGGTCAGATTCGGATTCAGAGCAGCTTTTTTTTACTTTTTTAAATTTATTGGCCTGGGTAATTAAAGCGATTTAATACTAAATATCGTTACTGTTCGAAATAAAGGTTGTTGACTGTCTAAAGTGTATATGAGGGGTGTAGAAACAAAGGCAGCAATCTCGATATAAAGCTTTTAGGTAAGGTCATGAATAAAACGGAAATTATTGCATTTGTTTATAATCCCTCATATATTCTGGGTTCTTGTTATATATATTCAATTGCGATCTAGTTATGTTTGTCTGTCTTTCTGACTAAAGCACAATAGGGTCCAAGCGGAAGTAGCTTAAGAGCTAAAACTTTCCATAAATATTCTCTTTAAGTATTGCAAATGGTCAATATCAGTAGTCCAAGATTCTCTTAACCCCAATTTCAGTTGAAAACGCAATCGTCGTAATATTTTACACAAGTTGGTTGTCAGAAATTATAATGTAAAGTATGGCGGAAATGGGGCCACATTTGCTAAGGTATTCTTTAGAAAATTACAAAAACAAGATTTATAAGATCCCAAAGTCTCTTTGTTTTTTAATCTAATTCCGCCAGTGGCTATAAATTATAAACAAATTTAACAATAATTTAATCCATAACATTTTATCACTCACCTAATACCGTACATCTCTCATCTCCTTAATACTATGTACGTACACCTTCTGATATCCTAAGATCCTTTATATATGTTTTTGTCCCAACCTTTTTATAGATTGGTGTGTCTTCCCTATTTGGTGTTGCCATTATGATTCTATTCCTGCCACTCCAAGCCTTTTTGGGCAAAAAGACTTCCGTATTACGTCTACGTACTGCATTGCGTACCGATGAACGTGTACGCATGATGAATGAAATCATTTCCGGTATACAGGTTATAAAAATGTATGCTTGGGAAATACCTTTTGGTAAAATGGTCGAATATGCTCGATTCAAAGAAATGAATGCCATACGTTATGTCAATTATATACGTGGTATTTTACAATCCTTTATTATGTTCTTAACCCGCATCTCAGTGTTTGCCAGTTTGGTGGGCTTTGTTCTATTGGGCAAATTGCTAACGGCCGAAAAAGCTTTTGTAATTACAGCTTACTACAACATTTTGCGCAACACAATGACCATCTATTTTCCCATGGGTATTTCACAATTCGCTGAAACTATGGTTTCCTTTAAGAGAATCCAAAAGTATATGATGCATGAGGAGACAAAAGTTCGTGATAAATCTCTTGAAGTTGATAGTGAGAACAATAAACTACAACCCACTGCCATTATAGAGGAGAATGGTAAAGCTATTGCCATGAATGGTGTCATAAAGCCCACGACAACTACTACCAATCATAATGCTCATCAAATGGATGCTGGCGTAGTGATAAGTAAACTTAAGGCTAAATGGGACTCACAATCTACGGAGTATACCTTGGATGGCATAGATTTAAAAATAAAACCACGTACCCTGGTAGCGGTAATTGGTCCTGTCGGTTCGGGAAAATCCAGGTAAATTGAATGATTAAATAAATAATTAAAAAATACATAAATCACAAACATACATTTAAAAAGTAAATTTAAAAAATCCATTTGTTCCTGCAAAATTAATTGATTTTGTTAATCTTAATATTGAAATTTTGGTATTACCCAACTGGAAATTTCTAGACCGTGTTAACATATGTCAGGCTTGGAATAATAACCAATAACATATAATTGTAATTCGATAATTGGTAAACATTTTAATTAAACATTATCAAAGTAATTGGAAAAACTGTTATAATAATTGGTAAATTTATTATAATTGGTAAAACTTCAATTACATACAATTCAATGACAAATAATTGTAATTGGCAAAATATTGATCATTGATGAATTAAACATTACAAATAATTGTAATTAACCATGAAAGTAATTACTCAATATACTCATTACCACCAATCCTGTAACTTCTACCCATAAAAAGTGTGGTTTATGAGTGAAAAAGTTAACACGGAATTGAAATATTTACTTCTCTCGTCTGTAAGTGTATCTCATTCAATTCCATCTAAATATTTTTAAAATTCTATTCAATTATAACACCGCAATTTTAACTCTTTCAATTTATTCAGCTTAATTCAAGCTATACTTGGTGAACTACCCGCTGAATCTGGTTCTGTTAATGTTAACGGCACTTTGTCATATGCTTCCCAAGAGCCCTGGCTATTCACTGGTACGGTGCGTCAGAATATTTTGTTTGGATTGCCAATGGATAAGCAGCGCTATCGCACAGTTGTGAAAAAGTGTGCGCTGGAACGTGACTTTGAGTTATTGCCCTACGGTGATAAGACAATTGTAGGCGAACGCGGCGCTTCACTGTCTGGTGGTCAAAAAGCCCGTATTAGTTTAGCCAGGGCTGTGTATCGCAAAACGGATGTCTACCTTTTGGATGATCCCTTGAGCGCTGTCGACACTCATGTCGGTCGTCACTTGTTCGACCAATGTATGCGGGGTTTTTTGCGTGATGACATTGTTTTGCTCGTTACACATCAGTTACAATTCATGGAACAGGCGGATCTTATTGTGATTATGGATAAGGGACGCATTAGTGCTGTGGGCACATTCGAATCGATGCGTAAGAGTGGTTTAGATTTTGCAAAACTGCTAATGAAAGCCGATCAACAGGAGGAGGCAAATGGTAAGGCAGCAGCTGGTGATGCTCCTGAGAACAATAAATCAGCGTTATCCCGACAAAATAGCAAAATGCGCTCGCGTCAAAATAGTGTTTCTTCGATGAGTTCAGCGGCAGATTCGGCGCCCGGTGATTCGCCTATGCAAGTCCAAGAAAATCGTGAAGGAGGAAAAATTGGTTGGAAACTATATAAGAAGTACTTTGGTGCTAGTGGAGGTTACATTTTATTTGCTGTAATGGCTTTCTTCTGTGTTGGTGCGCAGGTATTAGCATCCGGTGGTGATTATTTCTTGTCATATTGGTGAGTTAAAGTTTATTTGCTGTAATAATATAGATTTAAACATGTAAAATTTTAAAACTCCTTAAACCTAAATGTTCTATTATTTTAGGGTAAACAAAAATGGACAAGCACAAAGTCAAGTTACAGACGCATATAGACGTCCGGAGGCTCGTTTAGATAGCAATACCGATCCTGTTGATTTGTATATCTTTACAGCACTTAATGTTTCTATTATTTTCTTCGCATTGACACGTTCTCTGCTCTTCTTCAATTTGGCCAAAAGATCTTCCACGAATTTACACAATGCTATGTTTAAGGGTGTAACCAGAGCTGCCATGTATTTCTTTAACACCAATCCTTCGGGACGTATACTTAACCGTTTCTCCAAAGATTTGGGTCAAGTTGATGAAATTTTACCTGGTGTTATGATGGATGTAATACAAATCTTTTTGGCTTTACTCGGTATAGTGGTGGTATTGTGCATAGTTAATCCCTGGTATTTATTGGCCACTGCCTTGTTGGGTGTTATATTCTACTTTTTGCGTTCGTTCTATTTGAATACTTCAAGAGATGTAAAACGTCTGGAGGCTATAAGTAAGTTTTTCGATAAAAGATTTCATTGAGTATGATATTTACATAAGTTTCCCGTTTCTTTTAGCTCGTTCACCCATTTACTCACATCTAGGTGCTTCTCTAAATGGTCTTTCCACTATACGTGCTTTCGGTGCCCAAAAGGTATTGATTGCTGAATTTGATAACTATCAAGATATGCATAGTTCAGGCTATTTTATGTTTTTGGCTACAAGTCGTGCCTTTGGCTATTGGTTAGATTGCTGTTGTGTTCTCTATATTGCCATTATCACCTTGAGTTTCTTCCTTTTCTCTCCGGAAAATGGCGGTGATGTAGGTTTAGCCATCACTCAGGCTATGGGTATGACCGGTATGGTACAATGGGGCATGCGTCAATCGGCCGAATTAGAAAATACGATGACATGTGTAGAACGTGTTGTAGAATATGAAGATTTAGAGGCTGAAGGTGAATTTGAATCTCCACCGAATAAAAAACCACCAAAATCTTGGCCAGAAGATGGTCAAATTATTTTTGACAATTTAAGTTTACGTTACTTCCCCGATCCCAAATCAGAGTGTGTTTTGAAGGCTCTAAATATCTCCATCAAAGCCAGAGAAAAGGTTGGCATTGTTGGTCGCACCGGTGCTGGAAAGTCGTCATTGATTAATGCACTCTTTAGGCTTTCCTATAATGAAGGCTCGGTGATTATCGATAAACGTGATACTAATGAATTGGGTCTTCATGATTTGCGTAGTAAAATTTCTATTATACCTCAAGAACCTGTATTGTTCTCGGGTACTATGCGCTATAATTTAGATCCATTCGAGGAATATTCAGATGCTAAATTATGGGAATCATTAGATGAGGTAAGGAAAAGATAAACATATGTATAACAGAGTGCTTAAGTTAATAAAAAAAACTTTTAATTAATCCCTTGTCTAGGTCAAATTGAAGGACGTTGTTTCTGAATTACCTTGCGGTTTACAAAGTAAAATATCTGAAGGTGGCACCAATTTCTCTGTGGGCCAAAGACAGCTGGTATGTTTAGCCCGCGCTATATTACGTGAAAACCGTATATTAGTCATGGATGAAGCCACTGCCAACGTTGATCCACAAACTGATGCCTTAATTCAAACCACCATACGAAATAAATTCCGACAATGTACTGTCCTGACAATAGCACATCGTTTACACACCGTCATGGATTCCGATAAAGTGTTAGTAATGGATGCTGGTCGTGCTGTCGAATTTGGTTCACCATTTGAATTGTTAACACAAAGTAGAACAAATATATTTTATGGAATGGTGAAACAAACGGGAAATACAACATTTGATAGTTTATTGAAAGTAGCACAAAAGGTAAGAAATCATACCAAAAGATTTAAGTTAAATTATCATTTTTGAGAAGAAAATTAATGGAAAAGATAACTTGTTTTAGTTTAACCACTGATTTTAAATTTCGAAATTTGATTTTTTTTTCAAATTAGTGAAAAACAAAAACAATTTTTAAAATTAAGTGCAAAAAAAGTTAGGCGAGTATTAACCCTTTTTTGAATTATTTTTTTTTTTTCATTTTCAGGCTCATGAGGAGAATTTAAAGGCGAAAAAAGATTCTTGACATTTCGTAACTGTACCTAAAGTATTTAAAGATTATATATTAAAAATATTGGAACCAATAACAAATCATCCAGCAAATGCTAGAATACAAAAGACATTATTTTTTGATAACAACACAATATCAACAACAACATCATCTATAACAACAATAACAAAACCAAAATTTTTAGGCTAACATTTTCTAAATTATATAGAAAAAATTTAAGCAAAAAACACACACATAAAAATTCGGCTGGGTCGAATCTTACACATACACTTATGCTCCATTATCAATCTAAATTTTGAATATTGTTAACACCAAGGATAACTAAAATGAAACTAATTCAAAACTATTATCGAATTTAAATGTAAACGCTTACATTTATTAAAGTTTTATTTAAATTAAATGTACATAAACAAAATGTTCTTAAATTAAAGTAAAGATTAAAAAAATATGAATCCAAAAGAAATACTTTGTTGGAGAATAGACAAAAACCAATATCAAAAGCATGAAATATCAAAATAAACAAAACAGAAACTGAAAACTTTATGTACAACTGTAATTTGTAAATTTAAAACAAGTAGTAGACGACAATGTATAAAACACAAACAAATAACTAAAGTGATTTTTATTTTAGTAAGAAAAACAACGTTTCATTTTTTGTAATCTTTAAAAAAAAATGTTTATCACAAAATGCTTTCTAAATAAAAAAAAAAAAAAAACAAAATAATTTTTATAAGACAATAAATTAATACAAACTACAAAATGTAGAGATAAATGTGAAAATAAAGTAACTATAAATAAAACTAAATTAATATTAAGATTCTTGATTTTTTATATAACATTGTATTGTGCAATAAATGTGTATAAATAGTAGTTGATCCTTAAAGGATTTTAGTCTGAAAAACAAACACAAACAGATAAACAAAATAACACAAAATGTTAAAGTTTTTATTCAAACAAAAGTACTCAATTAAACAAATTGTATGTGTTCCAGTGAAAACGACAATATTTTACAGTTGTTGGCATTTGTTTTATTATTGTTTCTTTTTATTGTATGTATATTTTTTAAATTATAATTTGTATTAAATGTTATTATTTTGTATTTATTTTAATACGGTAAATATTTATAATTAAGTAAAAAACTCTAAATAAAAAAAAACAAAAAATATTTAAAAGGTCTTTCCAATATACATTATGCTGCGTAAAAGCTTTATTCATTAATATGTAGTTTAAAAACATTAACAACATTTTAAAAAATATTTTCCTCACAATTTCAAACATATCAGTCATTTGCTACAAGACTAGCATAATCAAAAAGAAAAGAAAAATTACTTTAAATGTGTAATGACATTTAACTAAACTTTTTTAAATACCTTTTAAACAAATCAAGGGATTTGAAACCAGTTTCAGATAGTAGTAATGTTTTTCATCTAAATTGATATTTGTCTCTAAAAAGTGAATTCGTTTTCCAAATCTTAACGATAACTATTTTCGTGAGTGAAAATTTCGCTTACAGAACTAATTATTTCAGTATTTTGATTCAAACTCTATTCAATAACACTATAAATAAAATTTCAAGTTTAGGATTTTCTATATGAATTTCACATTCTTAGGGTCTTATTCATAACACATTATCAAAGGTTTATAGAAAACTATTCAAACTAAATCTGTTCTATAAACATTTGGTAAATGATGATCCATTAAGGTGATCCCAAAACTTCTACTCCGATAACATAATATGAGTACATGATCCGTTTAGTAGTCATATATAATGCAGGCATGGACCATATTTAATGTTTTTGAAAACAACATGTTCCATAGCCTACATTACATAGGACCATGTTGTGGATCATATAATTTTACCATAGAAGTAGTTTTAGAATTATTAGAATATAAAACTGTTAAGTTACATTCACATCTATCAAATATTTGACGAAAAAGGCGTAACCACTATATTTTGTAAATGTTTTTTGATATTATATGTATCCTAAAAAAGTAAAACCACAAATACATTTTTAATTTATTGAGCTTTGGTATTTATTTAAAAGATTTTTTTTACATAAAAATCCATACAAAGCACTTAATTTCATCATTCGTTTATTTTTCAAAAACACTACATTTTTAGAATTGGCAATTTAAAATAACTGAAATCCGTTAAAATGTAAAAACTATTGTAAATATTCAAAAAATCAACTTTTGAATTACAACAGATAATTTAATGAGAAAAAAATAATAAATATTTTGCATGAATAAAAAACATAAATTAAAAGTTTAACAACAATGATAGAATATTTTAAAATAACTAAAAATAAATTAAATAAAATCATACTATACAAACTTTCTATACACCTACCACTGAGATTACAATAAAAACCGTTTTCATTTAGAACATTTCAATAAACTAGGAAGTAATTATTTTACAAAAGAGAAACTTAAAAAAATATGTATAAACTAAATATAAATACAAAAATAACGAAAGCTTAAAAACAAAAACTAAACAATTGTATTACAATTTACATTGATGATATTACAAATTACCATATATACGAAGAGTATGTATTAAAAAAAGTATAAAGCTTAACATAAATTTCAAATTTTGTTTGTATATGTACGTATGTATGTATGTAATTAACTAGAGCATAACAAACATTTTGAATGAATGATATTCTTTCATCAGAGATTGGATACACAACTATTTTATAAATAGACAATAAAACGTATTAAATACTTTAGTTTTTTTGTATTATTTTTTAGAAAATTAATGATGCCCAGGCTGCAATCAAACAAAAGCCACCACAGGTGGCCACTTGTATAAAGGTTTTGTCGCCAGTCAAAGCACGATAGTACATGGGGCCACAAAATAACAAACAACCAGCTGCCATTAATGATCCAGTCTGCAATGAGTTGCAAATTATAAAGAACAATTATTATTTGTTATTTTATTTACAATTTATTATATTAATTTACACATAAACAAATTAGAGCTTTTGTATCATAAAAAATACCTAAAACATAAAATTTACCTAAACAAATTCTAAATTTGAAAGCTTAAACGAAAACAAAAACAACAAAATTATCTTCCCTTACAAAAAATGTAGTTAAAGTATATTTAAAAATAAAAACAAAAAATGCATTTAATGTTGTAACAAAATTCTAAAGAAAAATAAATTTATATATTAAGTAAACACCTCCCTCTTTCTACTCTAATCCCCTCCTCTTCATAATTATATTTTTAATATATTCCTAGAAAATATAAAACAAGGAGTAATGAATTGAAAAACAAAAAAACTCTATCTAGTGGTTGTTATTAGCAAATGAAAAATAAAATAAAAATATATATTAAAGCAAAATTTATTTACCATAGTTATTTTATAAGCAGAGTTTATTTATATTAACAAATAATTACTAAAACAAAATAATTGTCATTGCTTTAAAAAAATAATAATACATAACTTTATAAAATAAGAAAAGTCAATTATAATTGTTAAAAAGAAATTATGATTATTAGTAATAAAATAAATTCTAAATTGTCTTAGCCAAGTAAGTAGTCATTTGGTCATTTAGGGAGTAGCAAGTAGTTTGAAGAAAAATACTTTATTTTACAATGAAATTATTTGTATATTAAAACACAAAAATAAACTGTAAAAAGACAATTTTGTACAACCTTTTTAACCAAACCAACCAAAGCAAGAGAAAAAGATACAATTATCAAATCGTATAAATATAAAAAACTATATCTACATACATATAAGAAGCATTTAATTTATGTTCTACTGCTCCCTTTACTTTCGAAATAAACGAAAATTGCAAATCTATAAAATGTGTTTGATTTAAAATTATGAAAAAAATATAAAATGTAAAACATATCGAAATATCATAAAACTTAAAAATAACTAGCTTGAAGAAAGAAGTAGGCAAATATTATGGACCAATCATCAACAAATATTTTTGTTTTAATTTAAATAAATAGAAGGATAACAATTTATATTTTAGTAACAAGCTGATGTTTAATGTTTAAGTCATATCAACAAGTAAAATAAATAGTGCAAATTTAGGAAGTAATTTCAAATTTCAACAACCTTAAAATTTGCTTAGCCTCTTTTGACCCTCAATGGTTCTAAAATTAAAATTCGACTAAAGAAAAAAATTAACAACACAATAGGTATAAACGGTACAGTGACACAATATATTATTTCTCAAAGAAGAAGGAATGATTATTTACGTCGGTTAAAATTATAAAAATCACATATTTTCTAAAATATCATAAAATATTTATCTGTTACGATTTTTGAATCCTTGTTTTATGCTATCAATCACTGTTTCGAACATCTCATGATTGTAATTTCTATACAAACTACTGGTAGAATATCTTCTATGTAAGTTGTATATAATCTTAAGATTCTTGTCGGTATGACTTCAAGTTTTACGTTTTATGTTATAATAGGTCGTATACACATTTATATAATAGAGTAATATCATATTTTTATTGTTAAGCGTCGACTTATGGTTCAGAAGAGGAAATAGAGCTCTACCGTCTTTATCACACGTTTGAAGGATATGGTGTTCAATGTTAGTCCAACATAATTCCCATATTTAATTATGTCCAACATAATTCCCATATTTAATAAGGGATTACAGTTTCACCATGAGACAAGGGTAGGAATTATTTTAAGGGACTTGTTAAAATGAAAAATTATTTTAATTTTCCACTTGGTGAACAACATTTGAGACTTTATACAATGCTGCTGACTGATCCTTTCATATTTTAAAGTCTGATATATTAATTGAATATCTATGTACAATATAGGTGTTAACACAGAACTTTGAGGTACACCAGCAAGAATGTTTTGTTGGTTGGAATACTCAATATCACATAAGAAACTTTGAAAAACTTTTTGTAAGTAGCTCGGGTAACCAAACTTAATGAGTTTATACATTAACCCATTATGTCATACACTATACCAGTATACATATATAAAAATGAATGTGTGTTTTATTGTATGTATTTTGGACTTTATAGACTGTTAAACGGCTAGACCGATTTCCTGAAATTTTCACAGTGTCTTCCTGTATGTCTGGAAGGAACTATAGGCTACTTTTTATTTTAAAATTTCATGTGGCCAAAGTGCCACGTCCACATAAAAACATAATAAGTATTTAAAATCACATATCTCGGAAACTGCAACAGCTAGAGTCCTCAAATTTTGTATGGACAAATTTCCACATCCACATGAACATATGGGGACAAAATGGGAGGAATAGCTATAGTGGGCGTGGCCCCTTCATATAAAGAAATCCTTAAATTAGTATATCTTTAATTAGTATATATAAAGAACACCTTAAATTAGTATATCTTATATTAAATAAAAAATTCGTTTATCTGGGAAACTATTATTATCTAGAATCCTCAAATTTTGCACGAAGAACTTTAACATTCATTTGAACATTTGGGTAATAAATTGGCGGACTAGCAATAGGTGGCATAGCACCTATTAGAGGTAGAATCTTAAAATTAACATAAAAGGAACATTTGGAAGTAAAATGTGCATATGAATGAATATGAATTAAATACAAAAATTTGAATATCTGAGAAACTATTAGAGCTAAAATCCTTAAATTTTGCGCTAACAACTCTGACGTTTGAATCTAGAATCCACAAATTTTGCACGAAGAAATTTCACATTAATGTGGGAGGTACCATACCCCTATTGTGGACTATCAATAGGGGCTATGGTACCTCCAATATGCCTTAAAATAAAAATTCGTATAACTGGAAAACTAATAGAACTAGAATCTTCAAAAATCGTAAAGTGCTGTTTTTATTTATTTTGAGGGTAGCAAAGCACACTGGGTATAGCTAGTTTAATATAAATATAACGATTCGTTCTATTTGAAGTGATCTTTAGAGACAAGGCACCAGTTAATCAATTTTGTTATAAAGGAAAAAATGTTATTACAAATTCAGTTTGAGTAGTGAATACGTCCAAAAACTTTATCTCAAAATAACAATAATTATTACGAAAATTACTTGTGTTTTTATCTATTAACTTCTTTTTTTACACCATATTACAACATATATTTTCCTCCTGAATGTTTGTATTGGCCTAACCAGTCTTCAAAGCTAACATAACTCATGACATCGGTCAAATTGAACCTGATTTATGCACCAATATACGTATAAAACTACATATCAACTTATACCAACTGAGTTAGATGTTATGGATTTTCTTCAATGTCAATATAACTCATGACATCGGTCAAATTCAAGCTACTTTATACGGCAGAATGGAAATTTCAGATGCGCGCCACACAGGTAAGCAGCGTGTGTGGCACGCAATATATTTCATAAAGAATTTTATCGATAGAGCTTACAGATTCATAAAACGATTAATAAATCGTTTCAGTGATATTTCACACACACTTTTATAATATTTTATTATACTTACCAAAGCCGGTCGACGGGCTAATGGCATGGCCAATAATGCAAATGAATGTAAAAAGTGGAATCTATTAGCCGTTTCGAATACAGCTTTTGCTTCCAATTTCTCCTGAATATCATAGATTTTGGCTAAACTATGCTTGCCATAAGCGCCCATAATAACGGCAGTAGCTCCACTTATACCAGCTAAACGCACAAAATGATAGTTCTTGCTAGTTAGATCCCACATAGTTATTGGTTTCGGAGGAGGCAAAACAACAGAGCCTTCAACTTGTTTCGGTTTAATGCCCTAGAAATTTTGGCAAAATTTTTATAAAATATAACCAAGAAAAATTAAAATTGCTTACTGCTCCTTTCAAGACAGCCGAAGCTGAAGTCAGCACAGCCTGACTGATGGGATTACCAACAGTTATGTAAGTTAATGTTTCTCCCCAGGACATTGTTGTTCAGCAAGAAATAAATTTCTTAGACAATTGGTGTTCTGTCGGGAAGCCTCACAAATAAAACGGTAAATAAAGCTGAATTCATACAAGATTGTCTGGCTAAAACAGCTGATTGTTTTTTATACACAAACAGTTGTCGTGATACTGTCAAAATCAATATGTAAAAAATTATCGCTCAGAACTAAGACTGTCAAAACTTATGTATCGAAAAATTAATGAATTCACCTTAATTATTCTGTGTCTCCACTGCCAACTTGTATTAATTCACTTTGGGCAATAATTATAGGGTGTACATATGAATAATTAACCGTATAATTTACGAATGAATAGTTCGAACAATTTTCTTCAGAATAACACAGTGAGACAAAATAAGCGAAAATTGAAATACCTGGGAAGTGATACTATTTTTCTGAAAGGTGGATCCGAGTAGAACGAGAATATGTTTTTGAAATTCACCAAACACCTCCAAAATCTTGAGTTACCGGTAAAAAACTAGTTTTTCGTACCTGTAACCACTTATAAGTCAGTAACTTGGATTTAGAAAGCAGAAGCTGAGGCTTTTATAATGGTGGTATTAGACGACATGTCTTTTACATATGTACTGTCAAAAATTCCATCCGTAAAAGTTGTACATATCGTCTGATACATATGAAACATTGCCTGTGTAAAATACATGTGGAAATACATACATACGTAATTTTTTTGATTAAGGTGCTATTAGACGACATGTATTTTACATACATATGTATGTATGTACTGTCCAAATTTTCATTTGTAAAATTTGTACATATCGTCTGATACATATGAAAAATTGCATGTGTAAAATACATGTAGAAATACATACATATGTATGTAATTTTTTAAAGCGTGCTCTATTTTCTAACATAAACAAATCAGGTTTTTTGTTGTGAAATAAAATTTTTTGAAAAAAAATAATTAAAGAACATGAAAAAGTAAGTATTTTTCAATTTTCAATAAAATAATTTATAATTTTATCAATTTTTGCACATTAAAAAGACAGCTTTGATTACATTTATAGTTTATACGGAAAAACATATGCAGGTGTAATAGCAAAAATTATGAACCTTGTGTAAAATGGCAATTTTGTGTACGTATATTCGAAATTACATATGGATAAAAAAGTGACAGTACATCCCCACAGAAAATTTTCAGAGTATGTACTAGGAATTGTAACCAATGTTGTGTGCTTTACTTTGTGTTACATACAATTTAATTTACTTGTACATACATACATATATAAAATCTGGATATGAAGACTAAATTTTTTAATATATTTTTTTTGCATTACATCTTAATATACTCGTGATAAACATTGTATATGAGAACAGAAAATTATAAAAATATAAAAAAAATCAAGTGTGCTGTAACCCCGTGTCTATATTAGCCAAATATTTATCACGATACTTGACAAAACGTCGGCAGAAAAATTGTTAGTTTTTTGTTTATGTTAATGCATAGGGGTAACAAAATGCTGATTTTATCACGACAACTCACAGATAATTTTATTGAAATAATGATAAATTTTATAAAAACAATTAAAATTAAATGCAAATTTTGAAAATAAACACTAATTTCACTAAAACTTGTGTTAAAAATCAATTTTAATTGCACAAAAACATATTCTAAACAAATTTTACAATAAAACGACGTTTGTTATCAAGACAACGTTGTTTAAACAACTGTTTAAACAACACTGTCATAACGACGTTATAATGCTAATAAATGCCGTCTGCACCTGCTAATTTTTTATCATGATAACAATTTGAAGTTTAGCATAATAAATATTTGTCTAATATAGACATGGGGTAATTTATTGAAGAAAAAATTTTTCATTTATTGGAAAATATTTTTTGGATCAACATTTTTCCAATGTTTAGATAAATTTTAAGCAAAATTTATTGCTTAAAATTTGGATCATGATCTAGCGAACGACCTTAAGAGCGGGTTTTTGAGTTGACAATCAAAAGCTAATTAATAATCAGATTAGTTAATCTAAAAACAAACTTAATCCGATGTTAATCCCCTTTGATGTTTTTGAGTACAAGATTAAACTTCGCAGTTTTGCCATACAAAACATCAGAAAACGTCACTGTTTGTTATCAAAGCCATACATGTTTTATAAAAAAGAAGAAGATAATTTTAAATTTAATATGAAAATTAATGAAAACTTAAATTTAAAACAAAAAAATGTATTTTGAAGTCCCCATAATTTATTTATATTAACCAATAAATCAAACATTTTAATGTTTATTTTTATAAACATTTTATTAAATTTTTTGCATCAGCTGTTTACACTTTTGTATTTGTTGCTCAAGTTTAAACCACCTCCATTGGGCGCTTAAACTAGCAAACAAAATTAACTAATTGAGTACTCAAAAACATCCTTCGATGATTAATTTTAATTTAATCGCTAATCTTTCTCCTAAAGATTGGCCCTAAATGAATTTGTAGATACATGTATGTGGATAGCATTTTTAAAAAAATGTATTTCCAAACTTTTTAATACACATGTATGTAAACTAGAAATATGTTGTAGATACTTTGTGATACACTTGTGTTCCAGATGGAAAGGTGTTGTGGAAAGAATTTTACTTACTAGTTATATCGGTAAGAATGTAGGAATAGCTACTTTTCCACACTCAAGTATATTATAAAAATCTACACACAATATCGCAAACCAAGTATATCAGTTAGTGTGTCATTCTGAAGCGGCCATAACCTGTGTAAAATAAGCTAGGATGTGTGTAAGTTTGAAAGCACTTTCGAATTCAAAATAAGCAACACAAAATCGGTATTGTAAGCTATACATTTCCTGTGGGGAAATGTAAAATACATGTCGTCTAATACCACCTTTAATTTGACATACAAAATATTTACGAAATAGTGTAACAGCTGATAAACATATGGTCATTGTTTTGGTTCAATTCGCCTCCGAATATATAACCAAAACATTTATTTTGATTTTTTAAAATTAGTGAATTAAATTCAATTTAATAAAATTAGTTTTTAAAATGAGTGCGTTTGTATTTAAAAGATCTTTTTGTGTATACAACGCATTAAGGGCCAAACAAATACCAAATAATTTAAAAGGAAAAAGTAAAAGTTCCCAAGAATGGCTGACAAGACAAATGGCAGATCCATATGTAGAGAAAGCAAAAATGATGAATTATCGTTGTAGGAGTGCCTTCAAACTATTGGAGATTGATGAAAAATATCATATAATTAAGCCAGGAGATACAGTGATCGATTGTGGAGCAGCGCCCGGTAGTTGGACACAAATAGCAGTAGAACGATCAAATGCCAATGGAAAAATGGAAAATAAACCAAAAGGAGCGGTGTTTAGTATGGACTTGTTACATTTTCATGCAGTACCAGTAGGAAGCAATGATTTTATTTATTTTTAAATAAATTTGAAATAAATTTTCATTTTAGGGCGCTACAATATTTGGAGGAATGGATTTTACAAAACCTGAAAATCAATTGCGTTTAAAAACGGCTTTAGATGGACGAAAAGTTAATTGTGTTTTATCGGATATGGCTCCGAATGCTACGGGCGTTAGAATGTTAGATCAAGAAATTATAATTAATCTTTGTTATGACGTTCTGCGCTTTGCCTTGGCCATGTCAGCTCCACAAGCAAATTTTGTTGTTAAAGTTTGGGACAATGGCGATGTACCCAAATTAGAAAAGGATATATTAAGATTCTACGAAAAGGTTAAGCGTGTAAAGCCTCGGGCCAGCAGAGGAGATTCATCGGAGCACTTTTTTGTAGCAAGAGGATTTAAAGGTCTAGAAAATGTCATTAAAGAAGAACAAAAATAAAATTGTAAAAATTTATTCGCAATAGTTTTTTTTAAAATGAAAAATTTACATACACATTTTTTTTTTTAAATTAAGCTTTGCTTTTTACCATAAAATATATGAAAGTTATTACTTGGTTACAGGGGTTCAAACTACCTTTTTGTAATGAGTTAAATGATGTATTAAATTAAACATCCATTTTGGTTGATCAGTTGGAGCCATATGACCAGCATTACGTACCATAATCTCAATTAAATGACCAGCATGTTTTGCATAACCGGCTATCTCATCATCAACTTTCCAAATTTGACGTGGAGCAACCTTGTATATTGCGGCAGCATTAAATTTCAAATGATTTAAATAATTACGTGTCAAGGGGTAAGCAACAATTATATCTAATTGGCCGTTATAAATACAAACAATATAAGTTTCTAATAGTTCTGCAATCCAAGGTGCTACGGTATCCATGACATCTCGCTTTAAGAAGATTTCTACTTTATTTTCAGTATCTAAATCATGGAATGTAAGATTACCCACATGAATTGAACGACGAGTCAAAGAGGATTGCAGAAAATCACCCATGATTTTACCATAATCATCTCCCTTAGTGTGCAAGTAATTATAATAGTAATTGTAGCCAGTTAGATTTGTAAACAGTGAACCATTCACGAGATCGCCGTTTAAGAGATTATCGAAAATGTCAAAGGCACAATCCATATCGTGATTTTCAATGCATTTTACGCCCTGTGCCTCGGCATCGTGGAATTGTTTTAAACCGTGCTCATCAATTAAACCCAATTGATATAAATAGTCTCCATATTTCAACTGATGTATAGGATCTGAAAGTCCATTTCCAATGGCCATACCCTTAAGGGGTATCTTAACTCTGGTGTCAACAGAACTTTGCACTTTGTGAATATGATAGGCCAAGGCTGGAACATATTTGCCGGCATATGATTCACCAGTGATCCAAAAACCGGACACATCACTCCACTCGAACAATTCATACAGTTGTTGCATGGCTTCGTGCAGATTATGGCCTACATCTTTTTCATTACGGGCATAACCATCATCGCTATCGGTAAAAGAAAATCCTGTACCCACTGGATTGTCAATGAATATAAGATTATGAGTTTTACTCCAGGTGTAGTTTCTCTTTTGCAATTTTCCATGAACATCGAATTCAAATGGTCCATTCTCTGTAAAAAGTCCAAATAAGGAGGATGCACCAGGACCACCCTGTAGCCACAAAACTACAGGTGCATAACTAGGTTCTTGCTCAGCCGGAAAGTACCAGAAAAAAAGATTAGAATTAAATTTAGGATCGACCGTTAAATAACCCGCATAACTTTCTACACCATGATATTGGTTGCCCACGACTTTAGCTTTTGCTTGTATATCCTCACGTTTTACTTTTGGGTCATTGATAAGAGGCGTAAGAAACAATGGCTCGCCAGGATCTCCACTATCGTGGAAAGCTTCAAATCTTGGATATGGATTAATAAAACTTTTACGATATTTTAGGTGCGCCTCTGCCTCGCATATAAGCAAAACCAATGCAATTAGAAATGCACTCACAACTGCATGATTTGCAATTTTCATGGTGATTTTGTTCTAAGCAGAAAATTGCAATTGAATTCGGATGCAACAGTTTTTAATGGACTGTACTTACTGTTCTTACAAACAAATACTTTGTTTTTTTAATTCGATTAGATAAGAGTTTTGCGGCTGAAAACTCTTTTTACGCCTTTCTTTGTCTAAAAATATTGTTCAAATGCAACAAAGATCGAAATGCAAATAAAAAATCGTTCGACCGGCTTAAAATATATGTTTTTATGAGGTAACTGCACTTGGATGAGAAATATGTTTTTCTATGGATTTTGACAATATAAGTAACAAATTTTTGGAAAGAAATTATTATTTTTATATGAATTTTGACAATATGTATAATAATCAGATGGATATACAATGTTACCTTATAAACATTAACTTAAAACGACAACAAAATCTCCATTTTCATTTTAATTCTTTTATTTTGATAGAGTTGTGTTTTTAGTAAAGTCAATTTACGAAAAGTCGACTTTTTCAATAATTTAATTTTCAAAAAAATTTACTTTTATTAAGAGAACAGCCCATGGCTGCCAGCTAGGTTTTTTGCAAATGCCATGTTCTCACTGAAAGTTGAATTACTAAATTCGTGGTCTGAATTACTATTGCGAATTAAATTACGTGAAGTTGTCTACAAAATTAGGTGAGATATGAAATACCGTTATATCGATATATGTTTTAAATAGCGGTACTTCGGGAATACTTTTGTAAAAGGTCAATATTAGAATATAAAAAATTACCTTGGCTCTCAATAGGTTAATGATATGGATAATATTATTTACCAATAGAAAAGTATTATAGAGACCATTGCATTGATACCCATATCGGCCATATCAGATAATAAGAAATTGAGCTGTATAAATGCATTTTATAAAAATCAATATTCAGGTGAAAATAAAAACTTTTAAACTCGCATAACGCCTGTATTTCATGTGATAGAGCTCTCAACATACATCATAAGAAAGCCAAATGTGTTGTCTACAAAACTGGATGTCATGTGAGATACCGTTATATCGATATATTTTTAAAATAACGGTAATTTTGTAAAAAATCAATATTATAAAACGAAAAACATATTAATCAGAAGGTATTTCAGAGACCTTTCCATTGATACACTATCAACAATTTATATTAATTACTAGCCTATATTAATCCGATTATATATAAAAACTTTGAAGGACTATAACATTCGGATCTGAATACAACAGAGAAATCTTTTTTTTTCATTTGTGATATGATTGCTTTTTTTTGAAATCAGGTAGATTTACACCGATCAAGATGAAGAAGAATTAATTTTTAACTAAAAATTTAACGTTAAATAATTTCAATTTGTTATATATTAAATCCCTTGGTAAAAAAATAATCACATTATATACAATGGCAACACTGAAACAAGCATATGCTTGACACAACGAAATGCAGATGTGTCAATTCACACTAGTTTTTTAATCATTTCTTATTTGACAATTAAACAATAACTTTTTTCTACTTCGGGAATACGAATGAATATTTTTGTACAATGTGCGGAAAAATTAATTAAAAGTTATCAATTTTATATATAAAGTGCGTAATAAAATGGGAAATTAGTTTAATTAAACAAAAATAAGAAAGAACTACAAAAATAATGAGAAAAAGTGTGTAAAGAAAGAAAGTGTTTGTGTGTGCAAGAAAAAGGAAATAAAAACAATCAAATGAAAACAAAATGAGACGAATGAATCGCGGCTACGATAAAATGGGAAAATTATTTGTTCGCAAATTTTTTTATTGTTTAGTATTTTGTGCTATTATTGCATCAGCCTCGGTGTCGGCTACGGTAGTGTCAAAAACAACGACACCATCATCAACAGATAGTGCTGAGGTTGTTGTCGACGATGTTAACACTGGTGAAGGGGTTAATACGGTTAAGGTATGTTTGTTATATTCACAGGATCTTAAATGGAAATGCATAATCATAATTACAAAATATTTCTTCATTTTGTGTTCCTTTAGGATTGCACTGACTTGGCCCGCGATGAAGAAACCCTAATGGTGTTTTCCACATTAGGGGGGCGGTTTGACAGCAATTGATCCGATAACAAGTGAAATACGTTGGACCATAGCTGATGGTAATTATGATATTAATATTATTATAATTTATGTTAGCATACACACATTTATCAACATTATTATTAATACATTCATACTCCAGTCGGAACATAAACACATGTGTAGAAAAATATATACAAATTTATATTTTGATTTTTGTTTGTATTCTCTAAGGTACAAATTTCAGAATGACGAATAATAATTCGTCAAAGTCATTAAATTTAATATAAATACCTTTTTCATGGTGGTTGAAAATATAAATATGCCAACTAGTTAGTGGTTTCTATTGAAGTTATTTTTTATAAAAAAAAAGTTTTTTCTATAAAAATTATTGAAATTTATTAACATTTGCATTGTTTTTTTGTAAAATATTTGGTTTACAAATTAAAAAGAAATAATAAAAAATAATATTTTTATTGGTACATAGGTATATAATTTTCTCGGTCTGTTTTTTGGTTTTAAAAAGATCTAATAATATTTTAAGTTCTAAATTTTTAATGAGATTTTGATATTTATCTGTGTCTGTAAGACAAATTAAAAACTTGTTTTTTTAACATATTTATTTATACCTAATAACTCATAATTTATATTTCTGGTAATGATTATGTGAGAACTTTGCGCTTGACATTGTACCTTCTGTAGTGGAAAAACTATAGATATTTTTACATAAATTTTCACTATAACTAACTTAAAATTGTACTATGTACCTACTTAGTAAATATTAAAAATAGTCCTGTTCGTTAAACTATATTCATTACTAAACATTAAGATCGACATAAACTAATTTCGATGTACTTTAGACAAATATTAATAGAATTTTGTATATATACTTACAATCATACATACAACATAATTAATAATGAAAGTTTATTATTTGTTTAATGTGGTTAAAACACATGTCATTCAATTTGGAAATATTTATTTTTTATTCATCCCTCTATATATATATACATATACATTTTTTCAATATTTTACTGTGTGCATATGTTTTATTCAACTCTTTAATTGTGGAGTTCAGTTTTATAATTAATCTTATTTGTACATTAAGTAAATGTTATTAACGTAATTATTTATTAATATTTGTGTACGTATGAATGCACTTATAAATAAGTTAATAGATTTGGATTATTGGTTTTAAATTCATAATAACATTTGTAATTTAATTTTTAAATCTGATTATTTGAATAATTTATTTTTAATATGTTTTTCTTGCCTGCATAATAAAAAAATGTTTTTATAAAATAGATGGATTTAAATGACCGGTTTTCTCTAAAATTAAGTATTCTCATGGAGAGAAAGATCCGGAAAGCCACGGAGTTGATAAAAGCACACATCACAGAGGGATTTTTAGTGACAATTTATGTAGGCAATCAGAACACATTTAAGGTTCTTAAATTACATTTTAGCATAGTGCTAGACTGAAAAAGAGCTATAGAAGAATTAGTATAACTTGCCAGACATGGCTCAAATGTGGACCTTGGTGTTAGGGACTGGGGAGTATGTCTTTCCATTTTCACTACTACATAATAATCGTTAAAAGATTCCCTGAATCAACCAAGCAATCTCCGAATAGAATAACGTCTTATCAAGTGTCCAAAGCCTTTTGTCAAAAACTGTATTCAAGTGCAACCAAAACACTAATTGGATTAGTTAGGTATTTTGAATAACAAAAAAAAAAAAAAAAAACAAAAATAATAATAATAACAATAAATATTGCTATGCTGGATTTTTCTTCAATAAATTTATGCTATGTTCATACTAAACTGATAATAATAATTAAAAACAAAGGTAGATGTTTCTAGTAGAAATTATCAATTGATATTCGTTTCGTTTTATAAAAACATCTCTCCCTGTTAGAAATAAACATACATAGATAACAGTAAACATAATAATAAAGTTATATAGTCCAACAAGTTTTAATGCAATTTTTTTTTAAAGTTTATTTTTAATTTATTTTTTAACTTTGGCGTTTTTAAACAAATTTGAATAGCAATAGTCTTTTTATAACTTATTAGCTTCGTACAAAATATATTTTATTTAATATAATTACTAATTCCATTCTTTTTTTGTTAAAATATTTTGTAAATTTCAAAACTCCTTCAAGTTAATAACGCTAACTTTTTATTACATATTGAATTTGTAATATATGTAAGATCACGTTTTACATAATATACCTTAACAAATTTAAATGTTTTACAATTATAAACGTTTAACATTTTTAGAATAAAACGTTGAATGTCTTACAATTCAATATATTATTATAAAACAAAAAAATTGTATTGTATTAATTTAAAATATAACAACAATTTTTAACTTTACAATCTTGTAAATTGTATAAACTAAAAATAGTTTCAAAAATGAAAAATACATTAGATTTATTTTTTTAATATAATAAAACTACAAGCTTCAATAAATATTCGTTTAGAAGTGGGTGAAAATAAATTTCCAAGATCCCCTTACATACAGGTGAAGATAAGAAAAGTATTTAAAAATATTTTTGTAAAAATGTTTAAACTTTGGTATAAAAACATATCACTCTACCTGTATTAAGTAGAGGTATTGAAAGTGATTATTTTTCTATTGAACAACTATTTCAAGTCGTATCACTAGGGGTGGGTATTTTTGAAAAGTTTCTTTAATTTTCTTATCTTAGAAAGTAAATAAACATATACGTTCCGTTTGGCAAACAAAAATAAAAAACAATAAGAAAACAAATTAAAATTGCAAAAAATTGTGTAGAAATAGCAATTAAAAACTTAATAATGACAAAGTTTTTGCAAATAATAAAAAACAAAACGAAAAAACACACATACAATATTGCACATTTTTAAGATTATATTTAAATTTACGATATTTTGTAGTGTTGCTATATAATGATTGCATATGTTTAAATTAGAACTCATTCTCTAGTCTAGTAGGTCATCATAACTTTAAAAATTGCGTTTATTTGTAGTATTCACAACATAAATAATTGAATTCCCCGCAGTTTTAAAAGTCAAAGTTTCACTAATACAACATTGGTTAGATCATGTTTTGGTCATATAGTGTTTTATTTTGACATTATATAGTCCTTATTCACAAAAATTTATCAAATTTTGTATTTTGTATGAACATTTGATAAAGGTTTACGATATATAAAATAATCAAGATTTTAAGGGTGATACTAGTTTAGTGCACTGCAGGGTATGCTTAATATA